GCGGGTCTTGAACCCACGGGCTCAGGCAATCCACTCACCTCAGCCTCCCAAAGGCGCGGGATTACAGGCTGAGCTACCGAGCCCGGCGACTGGATCTTTTTAAAGATCCCTTCGAGGTCTGACATACTACCTTCTGAGGGGATGGATCTTTTCTGAGGCTTCCCTTCTCACACCTGCTATGTTGTTTCCTTTAAGAAAATGCCTGTCAGATCATCTTAAGCTTTTCTGGAAATTTCTTCTGCTGAAGATCTATCTTTTCCTATTCAAAAACCTCTGCCCAGCCACACTGTGGAGGCAAAAGGAAGATTTAGGCTCTGTCCCTGGGCGTTCTCAGGACAGGAGTGGGAAGAAGGGAAAAAGAGAAAATCTAGGTCCGGCCTTGGAGAGCTCACAGAAGGGGAAGCAGAACTGGGAAAAATAGAACCAGGACTCAGTTGGAAGTGGAGGGATTTAAGCATACAAAACATTTGCAAAGATATAGAGTAGAATGGAAGAGAGGAGGCTCCTGATACATTTTTGACTTTATGCCTTTGATTTATTTGATGCATATTTGTTACATGCCTGCTGGGTATGCTGGGGGCTGAGTGTCCTATTAGGGAACCAAACAGATGTGGTCCTTGTTCTCTTGGAGTTTATAGTCTAAGGGACATTTACAAATCCCCAAATTGGAAACTACCACTAGGACATGTCTGCTACTTACCCTATAGTATGCATACAAATGAAAAGTGTTACCATCTCTGTAGTATACTGCTTGTATTTTGTTTTATCATGTGGTTTGCTATGGTTTGGATGTTTGTCCCCTCCAAAACTCATCTATTCATGGGTAAATAGATTAATGGGTTATCATGGAAATGGAACTGGTGGCTTCATAAGAAAAGGAATAGAGACTTGACTGGCTCACTCAGCCCTTTGTCACGTGATGCCCTACAAAGAGTCCCCACCAGCAAGAAGGCTCTCAAGGTACAGCCCCCTGACCTTGGATTCTCAGCCTCCATAACTGTAATAAATCAATTCCTTTTCTTTATTAATAACCTAACTTCAGGTATTCTGTTGTAAGTAATAGAAAACAAACTAAGACATGTATACATTACTTTGTTTTGTAACACAATCTCACTCTGTCACCCAGGCTGGAGCACAGTGATATGCTCCCATCTCACTACAGCCTGAACTCCTGGGCTCAGGCAATCCTTCCTCCTCAGCCTCCTAAGTAGCAAGGACTACAGGCACATGCTACCATGCCCAGCTAATTTTTCTGTGTTTCAATATGTTGTCCAGGCTGGTCTCAAACTCCTGAGCTTCAGGCTCCTACCTCAGCCTGCCAAGGTGTTGGGATTACAGGCATGAGTCACCACACCCAGCCTATACATTACTTTTAAAGCAAAAGTTAATATCTTTTTCAATTCTTGTTAAAGTTATAACTTAACCTTTTATTTGATTAGCAGTTTTTTTTCCTCCTGGCTGATCCTCTGGCTGAAACAATTTCAACAAATTGTGTCCCATTGGCAAAAAATTATAATCAGGATCTATGGCCTCTGAACTAGCTTTACTATTCTCCTCTGTAGCAGTGAATACAGGCATGGACACATGGGTAACAGCAAATACTAATTAGTTGATTAATGTCTCACAGAATTTTCCAGATTGATACAAATGACTGAAACAAAAGTTTCACAAAACTTCATGTTTGTTACAAATGATATTTCCTTTTCTTTCTTTCTTTTTTTTTTTAAGAGACAGAATCTCACTCTGTTGACCAGGCTGGAGTGCAGTGGCTCTATCGTAGTCCACTGCAGGCTTGAACTCTTGCGCTTAAGCGATAATCTCACCTTAGCCTCCTGAGTAGCTGGGACTATAGGCATGCAGCTCTACACCTGACTTTAAAAAATATATACAGATCATAAGCCACTCAGCTGATCCATCAGAGTTCATCAAAGGGTCACAATCTGAATTTTAAAAGCACTGTTTAATATAGTCTTGGGTTCTTAGGTTAATCTATCTTTGCCTTGCTGTGGCCGAGGGTAATTTCCTACCTCTCTTTGAACTTCAATATAATGGCAAGTTTGGAGATGACCTACCCTGACCTTGAAGACCCTTCTAGTTCTAATTCCTCACATTCACATAGCAATTTATAGTTTACAGTTACTAACCAGCATGATGATCATATTCTAGGGTAAGTGTTCCTCCTTCATATCCCCATAGTAGCTGAATATTGTCATTATATTGTGATGCCATGTTAAATATTTAAGATTCATGGCACACATTCAATAAAAGGTTGTTGAAAGAAGGTTGACTAAAGAGTCAGCTATATGTGATAGAGTGAGGCAGGGCTTTTACAAAGAGCAGGATTTGAGCTAGTTACAAAAATATAAGAAGCATTCAATTGGTGAAGAAGGAAGGGGAGGCACAGGAAATAGAATTGACAAAAACATGGAAGCCTTATAAAATGTGGCATGTTCAGGAAATAGTAAATGTTTCTAGAAGGTAGGGATGGGTGAGGGAATAAAAGACCATGTGTCCCAAAACGCTGTTTTAGGGTCTGGTTGTGAGGGGCCTTATGGTTATCTAAAAGGTTATCTTATCCTGGAGGCAGTGGGAAGCCTTTACCAGTTTTTAGAGAGTAGCATGATCAGATATGTGATTTGGAAGAATACTTAAAGCAATGTGGAGGAAAGATTAGAGGCAGGGTACACACTATAGGCTACAGCAAGAATTCAGGCAAGAGATGCCAAAGGGGCTTCAGCGAAAGCAGTAAAGGTAGAACTGAGAACTGTTTGGTCCCTGCACAGACCTGTGGTTGGGGAAGTAGAGTGACGGTTACCATCCGGGTCAATGCTCTTGCCTTACTCTCATGACACCTGGCTGTTGTCATTTTTTTTTTTTAATGTATAATGGCTTTGTATTCCTTTTATAATTTATACCCAGTGATTTGTGTAACTCTGTTCCTTGACAGAAAATATGAGGTGCTATTTTCACTAAATGAGTGCTTACCTGAAGGCATATTATATCGCAGTTATGTCCTGGGGCTGCATCTTAACTGAATGCTGGCCATTATTTGTGTTTGGTTCAACAAATACATTAATTGTATAATTTGATCCTTTAGTGTTGGTATCAACTTTCTGCTGATTTCTTTTAGCTTTATTGATGAATGCCTAATTTACAATAGCCTGGGTTTCTTTGTTGTTTTTATTTTAGTTGTGGGAATCCCCAGACTACCTTGGGTACTGGACAGTTTGCGAACTGCTCCACCGTGGAGGAGGCACTGTCTTACCATCTGAATCTTTCAGCCTGGATTTTACTAAAGCTGGGGAAACACTACTTGGGGATAAAAGAAAGCCATCGAGTGAACCTTGCCTCTCTCCATGGATTTCAACTCTGCCAACTGATGCCACTCTAAACCGTTTGCTCTATAATTGCCCTGAGTATGAAGCCTCATTTCCACGGATGGAAGGAACATTATTTCTCCCTCTTGAAGGTAAGCAAATAATGGGTTTTTTGTTTAATCTCAGTTACATTAATTTCTTCAAGGTAGGGCCATGCTTTTGCCTTCTTTGGCATTTCCTGCCGCCTAGGCACTCAATGGATGCTTGTAATGAAAATAATTAATAGATGTCAAAGCAGAAGCAGAGATACCACAGGAAAGGTTTGAACTCTTGTACAGTATAACTGCCAGCCCATGCACAAGAAGAACAAGTGATTACTTTTAAGGAGCTTCCCAACTGTTCCCAAAGAAGGGTAATATTGTTTAAGTGCCCAAGCACATGGGTGGTAAGATTTCATTGCCTCATAGAGGAGATTGATAAATTGAAGACCATACAGAAACAATGATTGACTAAGAGAAGAAATAAGTTCATCTACAGAAACCAAACATGATGCTTGTTATCAGGAAAAGCCAGCGTGTTGGACTCTTCATGAATTTATTTCACCATGTGATTTGCTATATGGTGAATCTCATTTCTGAATGCATTACATGTTCACACAGAAATAATACTTCATTGGAATATATACATAAGACTATCTTGTACATTATGTGTAGTTTAAGGAATTTTCAAAAGTAGTTTTATTTAATCATAGTCTTTAGAATTTAAACTTTTTGTACGATAAAATACACTGTATTTTATGGATTTTAGAAGTGGTGTCTTCTTTCTTATAAGCAGTAAGTACTGCTAGAGTACTTATTTCTGAGTCATAATTATTGAGAAATTCTGACATCACATCTTGCCCCTATAATTCTGTTTGTTTACAACTTTTCCTATAGCGCTAATTCAACTTTCTGTGATAGCTTATTGGCAGTAGAAGAAGGATTGCAATGTAAACTAAGTAATTCAACTGACATCTGATTTTTTTTCTTCCCACTATTAAATCTCTTTTTAGTAACTATTTCTTATGCTAGAATTGTAACATTCTTTATTTCTAATAGGCAAAGAGAGTCAAGAAACATGGACAGTCACCCTAGAGCCCTTGGCCATGCATCAGAGACATTTTCAGAAACCAGTCAGAATTATTCTAAAAGGCTCAGTGACCCAGTGGTCTCTCCCGATGAGCAGCACTTTGGGCGCTGATAGCTGGATGCTACAGAGTCTGGAGGAGAACACATTGACTCAGAGGCTGTTATTTCAGCAGCTGGTAAGCAGACTGGCTGCTGAAGAGTTACATCTGGTAGGTATACTGCATGTGGTAAGTTATTCTTGTCTGATGATACACACTAGTAAGGTGAAGTCAGTGTGTTTATAAAATGCCCTACATAATGTAGTCTCAGCACAGTGTTTTTGCAAATAATATTGTTGATACTGTAGCATCATGACAACAATGTTCATTAGTGAAGAAACCATTTATAAAATTGCATGCCCAGAATCAAGTTAAATTAAATTATACTCATATAAGAAAAAAGGCAGTCAGCCAGATGGAATGGTGGTTTTAGGATAGTGAAATGATGGGTGATTTCTTGTTATATTTTAAATGATGCGTTATATATTTATTACTTTTTTTTATAATCAATATTTTTTATTGTGATATTGTGGGGTACAGTTAAGGGTTAGGTATACAAATATGCTTCATTCAGGAACCCTTGTTGATAACAGGTGTCTCCCCGTTCCCAGACAGATATTTATTACCGTTAATCCCATCTCCCTTCCCCTCCCCCCCATAGTTTCCCACCACTGTCAGTCATTTTCTTATAGTAATACGTTGGATGTTCAGGGTCCACTATATGAGTGAGAACATGTGATACTCAGATCTTTGTTTCTGTGAGAGGTCACTCAGTATTATAGGCTCTAGTTCCATCCAGGTTGCTGCGAAATTCATGATTTTATTCTTTTTTATGGCTGTGTAGTATTCCATCGTGTATATGTACCACATTTTTAAAATCCAGTCCTCTTTTGATGGGCAGCATGGTTGCTTCCAGGTTCTTGCTATTGTGAACAATGCTGTGATAAACATACGTGTGCAGGTATCTTTTCTATAGAGTGATTTGAGTTCTTCAGAGATATTTATTACTTTTATATAAATATTTAAGAGAAAGCTGCTACACTATGAAGTTAGATATAATAATACAATAGTTATAACTGTTGTCCAATATAATTGTCTAAGTTTGTGTAACTATTGTCCAATATATTTAGACAGATTTAGAACTATCTTCTGAGAAGGAACATATATACCCAAATTTGACTTAAAAGTGGTGATTATTTTTAAACTACCAGCAAATTCCTTACCTTTATTTGTCTTTGCCTTCATAGTCTCAGGAGGTGTCTGTATTCTGGATTCCATTATGAAATCTTCTAGAGGAAAATGGGGTAGTTGTTGAGCAGATGCTGTTCTGAGAGTTGTGTGCTCTGATGAAACAAGCACTGGATTGGGAAGTCAGTGGTCTGGATTAGGTCTCAGCTCTGCTCCCCACTGTATGTTCTGGATTGATGCCTTAAGTAGTAGTATTGCCTCATGGTTAAGTGCATGGGCTTTGAAGTCAGATATGCTTGGTTTCTCCCTTACTAACTTGGGTGAACATAAACAGCTTTCTTCTTCCTCAGTCTCAGTCTCTTCTCCATAAAATGGGGATAATAATCATTTTTACCTCAGAGTGGTTGTGAGCACATAATAAGCGCATTTAGTAGATATTCCCAGTAACATTAGATTTTTCTTATTTGTAAATTGAAAGATTAGGACTATATAATTATTAATAGTAAATTCTCTTCTACTTTTAATAACCATCAAGTCTATCTTTTCTACAGTTTTCTCTTTATATTGATAAGCACTGGGAGACCATTACCCTGTCTTTTACTAAGCTCCATTCTTCTTTCGGCATACTGACTACAATGTTTTCAACTAATTAGAATTTCTTATATAGGTTGCTGATGTGGACCCTGGTGAAGGCTGGCCCCCCGTCACTGGAGTTATTTCCCCACTCTCTGCCAGTGCTGTGATTCTCACTATGTTCCGCTCTGAGAAGGCTGAATTTCAAAAACATGTTCTCCAAAGTGTTGTGGCCGAGGTCCCCCAGGACACAGCATCCCTTTTCTCTGAGGTTGTGGATGGTGTATTGAATCAGATTAATAACTCACCTGAAGAAGACTCTGCTACTGCTGGTAAGTTTCTAAACCAGTTGCTAATATAGTCTAGGGTGGTTGAAAATCTCTTCCAGCATCAGGACTTTCTTTCACCATGCACTTAGTTGAACTTGATATGTTACAAGACAGATAAAAGCAAGTTATAATACTTGAGACTGTTTAGATCATCATTATTTATAAAAGTCCTGAAATATATAGCAAGATCCCGTCTCTATAAAAAATAAATAAAAATTTTAAAAGAGTAGGCATTAGCTATGTTTATTGGCATTGGGAGATTTTTCTGGACTAGGGATGGTGGGAGTTGTTGGTGATGTTTAAAGCCACAAGATGGGTTAAGATCACCTAGAGGGTGAGCGTAGATGGAGAAGAGAAGGAAACCAAGGATTAAACCATATAGTCCAATGTTAAGCAGTCTGGAGGTTGAGGAGAAAGAAACCTGCAAAGAAGACAAAAAAGGGGCAGTCAATGAGGAAAGATAACCCAGTGCGTGATGCTTAGGAAGCTAACTGAGGACGGGAAGTACTTAACTTGGTTATTTGCTACCAATAGGTCAAGGAAGATGGAGGCTGAGAGCTGACATTCTATTGAGCAATGTGGATATTGACACCAGTTTTGGTGAAATTGTGAGGGTGGAAATATGAGTGGAAACAGGTTCAGAAGAGACTATAAGAAGAGAAAAACAGTTGGGCACGGTGGCTTATGCCTATAATCCCAGCATTTTGGGAGGCTGAGCCCAGGAGTTTGAGACCAGCCTACGCAACATAGCAAGACCTAGTCTCTACAAAAATTTTAAAACTTAGCCAGGCATGGTGGTGCATGCCTGTAGTCCCAGCTACTCAGGAGGCTGAGGCAGAAAGCTCAGCCCAGGAGGCTAAGGCTTGGTGAACTGTGATTGTGCCACTACTCCAGCCTTCATGACAGATTCCTGACTCTAAAAAAGTATTACTTATTGATGTGGGAATCAAAACTGGATTTTTGTCGTTGTTTTCAGCAGAGAGAGAATGGTCTAGAGGAAGCAAGGAGAATGCCAACCCACCTTAGGGTCAACTGAAAGAGGGGCATTAGATGGAGAGCAGCTGACTTTCTAGAGTGTTGCAGGAAAACCGTGTGTTCAGGGAAGGATGATACGGAATTCAGGACATGGGAGATTCTACTTTTGAGGGTCAGTAAGTTCCAAAGGGCAAAGTTGAAGGATTTTATGTGTGGAAAGAACTGGGCTGTGGAGACAGAATAGGAGATGGAAGGAGGAGTGAGGGGATTTGAGTGGGAGACAGGAGTGACCTGGGGGTCTAGGGCTTCATGTGGCAGGCAAAAACAAATATCAAGGTGAGCACGAGATTAACTCCTGTTTTTAAGGCAGCTAGTGATGCTGAACCGTGAGATTTGGTGGGTAGGAAGGGAAGGTGTTTGGCCCACCCCTACTCCTGCCCACGTAGGTATGGAGACTAGAGTTAAGGCATCTAACTAAAGCCCTGCCAAGAAGGCCTGGCCTTATTCTGAGCATGGGATCTCCCCCTTGACTCCTGCTGGAGGAGGTGAAGGTAACTGAGTATGAGGGACTTTCTCTCTCTCCATGCAGAGGGAGGCTTGAGACTTGGAGGCCTGAGGAGACTGGCAGTACTTTTGGCCTTTCTCCCCTAATCTAGCATATAATGACTTGGGAAGAAACAATCATATTTTTTTAATGTAGACTTTTATTGCTCATGTCTGAAGTTTTGGATGTGATATAGCAAATGCAATTACAGATATTTAAACTGTAATGTGATGTGAGGTTTCTTTTGTTTGCTTAAAAGTTGTTATAAAATAGTACCCCAAAAGTAATAGTTTTGAGAAAATTAGCATTGGAACATACTTCTCAAAATAATCTTTGATAGTAACAAAAAATAATACAAACCTAATAAAAGTTGTAGTTCAGTTAAAAAGACATGTAAATTTCATAAGTAAACTCCATAATAAATATACCTGATCCTTTAAAAAAAAGTGAAGATGGCATGATGAGAGGAGGTGAAAGAAAGGGTTGAGGTTGTGATATTAATGGAGACAAGTGCCAATGACAAAGATAGAAGACTGCATGATGAGTACTTTCAAGAAGGACCATGTGGCCAAACAGCCACAGAGAAAAGCATAGGATGGAAGGGCTCAGTGTGTGGTATTGTGCTCCTTGGCACGTTGTATTTAGTTGTGTTAATGCACTTCAAATTCTATTGCTGCCACTTGGAGGCATAGCGTGTTAGCACATTAGAAATAATCACATATCAACCAAAACAACATTATATATATATGTATGTATATATAAAATATATATTGAGTTGGAGTCTCACTCTCTTGCCCAGACTGGACTGCAATGGCACAATTATGGCTCACAGTAGCCTCAACCTTCTGGGCTCAGGCGATCTTTCTGCCTCAGCCTCCAGAGTAGCTGGGACTAAGGTGTGTACCACCCAACTGGCTAATTTTTTTTTTTTTTTTTGTAGAGAGGAGGTCTTGCTATGTTGCCTAGGCTGGTCTTGAATTCCTGGGCTCAAGTAATACTCTCACCTAAGCCTCCCAAAGTGCTGGAATTACGGGTGTGAACCATCTCACCCAGCCAAGTGGTACATTTTAAAAAATAGAAAAACAACATATTTTTTTAAACCTATTTAGAGTAAAATTTCAGAAATTATATAAGGGGATTTTTTGCCAGTGATAAGAACAAGACTTTAAGTTGTGTTTGTACATTTTTCAATAGCATTTTTCACAGACAACATAGACCTGTAGGAGTTGGGGGTGTAGATGGAGTATTGTTGTCAATACTGCTGTGTGTCCTTTGGAGGGATGCAGTCAGTCTAGGGGAGTGCTTGGGATTCCCTGCTTTGATTCTCATGTCTTTTTTCCTCTCCTGCCTCTGTTCTTTTGTTCCTGTAGCTCCTGTTCCAGAGTGGGCCCAGCAGGAGCTTAGCCTCACCATTCCCTGGAGACCAGCTGTTATGGAGAAGTGGTTTCCTTTCTCTAACATTAGTGGTGCCAGTTCAAATTTGATGGAGTCATTTCGGTAAGACTTTTTAATTTATCTGTATGTTGATTATTCAAATTGACTTTCAATTATCTGCATTTTTTCAATAGACCACATTCTCTGAGTATAATACAATAATATTAAAAACTAATTACAAAAATAAAACACTCTCGAATTTAGTATATATTGTGAGAGTATGTTAGATAATATTTTACCAACATATATGTGCCAAAAATTCTAAAAATTACCAATTAAAGAAATTTGTCAGATTAAGTATAAATAAAACACTTCCTTATAATATGGATGTCTGAAAATATTTAGAACTAAGTATCAATGAAAATAGAAAATGGCTGGGAGCAGTGGCTCATACCTATAATCCTAGCACTTTGAGAGGTGAAGGCTAGAGCATTGTCCGAGTCCAGGGGTTCAAGACCAGCATGGGCAATTTGGTGAGACCTTGTCTCTACAATAAATTAAAAAATTAACCAGGTGTGGTGGTGCGTGCCTGTAGTTCCAGCTACTTGGAAGGCGTGCCACTGCACTCCAGCCTGGGTGACAGAGTGAGACTCTGACTCAAAAAAAGAGAGAAAATGACGAATTTATAATGCAGTTGAATTTATACGTAAAGGAATATTTATAGACGTAAATGACTATTTTTGTAAACAAAAAAGTTTTTTAAAAATCACTAAGAATCCAACATAAGAAGTAAACAAGGGAGTAGTCTTCCTCACAAAAGAAGAAAGACAATAAAGATAAGAACAGAAATTAATCAAATAGAAAACAGATAATAGCAATCAACAGAAACAAAAGATGTTTCTTTGAAAAACTAAATAAGGCCCGACTTGGTGACTCAGCCTATAATCCCAGCACTTTGGGAGGTCGAGGCAAGTGGATTGCCTGAACCCGTGGGTTCAAAGCCCACCTGGACAACTTGGTGAGACCACGTCTCTACAATAAATCAAAAATTAGTCAGGTATGGTAGCGCATGCCTGTAGTTCCAGCTACTTGGAAGGCTGAGGCGGAAGGATCGCCGGAGCCCAGCAGGTTGAGGCTGCGGTGGCCAGGAGCATGCCACTGCACTCCAGTCTGGGCAGCAGAGAGACTTCAACTCAAAAAAAAAAGAAAAGAAAAGAAAAGCTAAATAAAATCTATAGCGAGATTGTGTAATTTTTTTTTTGAAAAGAAGCAAATAGACAATATTAGAAATGTAGAAGATATAGCAGAAACTACTATTAAGAGATAAGGTTGAGGTTTATCTTTTCCACACAAATATCCAGTTGTTCTAACACTATTTGTTAAAAGACAATCCTTTTCTCATTGAATTACTATAGTACCTTTGTCAAAAATCAATTGACCACCATTGTGTGAATCAATTTCTAAACAAAATAGAGTTCAGAAACTATGATAATATCACATTGTCTTGACTATTGCATTACACCAATACCACATACTATAGCTTTATAGTAAGTCTTTATTGATTGACTGATTGATTGATTGATTGATTTAGAGTTGGAGTCTCACTCTGTCACCCAGACTGGAGTATAGTGGCACAATCCACAGCTACCACAGCCTTGACCCACTGGGCTCAGGTGATCCTTCCACCTCAGCCTTCCAATTAGCTGGGACTACAGGTACATGTCATCACACCCAGCTGATTTTTTAATTTTTTGTAGAGACAAGATCTCACCAAGTTGCCCAAGCTCAAACCTGTGGGCTCAGGCAGTCCTCTCACCTCCATCTCCCAAAGTGCTGGGATTATAGGCATGAGATACCACACCTGGCTTATAGTAATTAAGCCACTAATTAGGTAGTGGAAGTCCTCTCAATTTTTTTTTGTGTTTTTTTTTTTAAGATTTCTTTGGTTATTCTAGACACTTTGCATTTTCGTATACATTTTAAAATCAACTTGTCAGTTTCTACAAAAAAAGCATGTTGGAACTTTAATTGGGAGCACAGTGAATCACAATATGAGAAGAACTAACATGTTAATAATGTTGATAGCCAGGCATGGTGGCATGTGCCTGGAAGACTGAAGTGGAAGGATCACCTGAACCCAGCAGGTCAAGTTTGCAGTGGCTGTGAGCGTGCCACTGCACTCCAGTTGAATTGTCTGATCCATGAACATGGTACATCTCTATTTATGAAGTTCTTTTTTTTAATACCCCTCAGTGTTTTATAGTCTTTAGTGTACAAATCTGGCCCATATCATTTAAAAAAATTATCTCTAAGTGTTTTTATGAAGAACAAGTATTGAAGTATTTGAAGATAGTATGATTGTCTTTATAGAAAAATCTCAAAGATTTTACAGGCAAATGGTTAAAATGATATGAGTATTGCTGAATATAAAAAAATTAATGTATAATGTCAATAGTATGCCAACAACAAACTTAGAAATTGCAATTTACAACAATTTGATAAAATTTATTTATGTTGACAAATTATTAAGGTACCTAGGAATAAATGTAGCAAAAGATGGATTAAAAATAAAAGACCAGCTGGGCTCGGTGGCTCAGCCTGTAATCCCACGCCTTTGGGAGGCTGAGGTGAGTGAATTGCTTGAGCCCGCAGGTTCGAGACCCGGCTGGGCAACTTGGTGAGATCTCATCTCTACTATAAATAAAAAATTAACCGGGCGTGGTAGCACATGCCTGTAGTCCCAGCTACTTGGAAGGCTGAGGCGGAAGGATCGCCGGAGCCCAGCAGGTCGAGGCTGTGGTGGCCGGGAGCGGCCACTGCACTCCAGTCTGGGCAACAGAGTGAGACTCCAACTCAAAAAATAAAATAAAATAAAGTAAAATAAAAATAAAAGGCCAAGAACCAAACAAGTGCACTTTCCCCCATGAAATATCAAGATTTGCCATAAGACTACAGTATTTAAGGCAATGTGGTATGGGTGTAAGAATAGACAAATAGACCAATGGAAGAGAACCAAAAGCCCCAGTAGTGACCCACACATTTATACGAACTTGGCATATGACAAAAGTGGCATTAAAAATCATCAGGAGCCGGGCTTGGTGGCTCAGCCTGTAATCCCAGTGCTTTGGGAGGCCGAGGTGAGAGGACTGCCTGAGCCCGCAGGTTCGAGACCCGCCTGGGCAACTTGGCGAGACCTCATCTCTACAGTAAATTTTTTTTTAAATCAGCCAGGCATGGTAGCGCGTGCCTGTAGTTCCAGCTACTTGGAAGGCTGAGGCAGAAGGATTGCTGGAGCCCAGCAGGCAGAGTCTGCGGTGGCCAGGAGCGACCACTACACTCTAGTCTGGGTGACAGAGTGAGACTCCAACTCAAAAAAAAAATCATCGGGGAAAGAACAGACTATTCAGTAAATGATGGTGTAACAATTGGCTATCAGCAAGAAAAAACATGAAAATTAAATTTCCACTTCACAGCATACACAATAACAGTTTCTAATAGATTGTTTTGTAAATGTGAAAAGCAAACCTTTAAAATTCTTAGGAGAAAAAATATATAGGAGAATATAAGGTAAAGATGTATTTCTTAAACAAGACATAAGTTTAAAGCAGAGAGAAAAAGATGAATAAATTTCACTGTGATGAATTTTTAAATTTCTGTATAACTAGAGTAAAAGGACAAGTCATAGACTTGAGAAGCTATAATCCATGTAAGCAACAAAGGATTAGTATTTCAATTAGTACAGAGCCGCTAAAAATTCAATAAGACAAGCAATCCAATTGAAAATTATGCAAAGAATGTGAATAAGCAATTCAGACGAGGAAATTCAACATGCCAATCATTTGAAAAGATATTCAGTTCAGAAAGATGGAGATTAAAACCACAATAAGGAAAAAAAACACAATACATTTCATTTTATACTTATTAGATTGTCAAAAATTAATACACCTGATAATAGCACATAGGGAAATGAGAACTTTAGGTGGTGGAAGTACAAATGATAACCATCATTTTAAAGAGCAATTTGGAAATTCCTGGTATGCAGAAACTTCACATACTCATATCCAGCAATTCTCCTTCTAAGTATCTATGCTAAAGAAATTCTTGCATAGAACAGACACAAGAACTATACTTGAATATTCATTGCTGGTCATTAATAGTAAAAAAGTGGAAAGAACCAACTGATTGTCAGAAAAGAAATGGATAAATAAAATATGATAATAGTCATATTGTAGAATATTATATATAGATTAGCAAAAAAGAATAAGCTAGAACAATTTATATGTACATGGAAAATGCTGAAAAATACGTTGAATACAAACAAAATTGCAAAATGGTGGTATTGTATCGTTTATGTAAAATGTACAACATGTAGCAATTTATATTGGCTTTGTTGAATATGTATGTCTCTATAAATAAGATACACACAAATCTCGGGATACTTCTAGGAGGAAGGGATGGAAAAAGATGGGGTGGAACTTCAGCTGTGTCTATTATGCTAATTTCTTTAAAAAAAGATCTGAAGCAGATAAACAGCAAAAAAAGAAAAAGAAGAAAAGGTAAATTCTCCCCACTGTTAAAGGAAGCACCAACATGCTTAGGAGAATTAATCTACTTTAATTTGGCTGCATGTATGAAGCTGATAGCCCTAGCACACATTCTGGCCTATGATATCTACTCAACTAATGTCATCATAACTTTCCCCCACTTTTTAATCAGGTGATATCAGATTATAGAAGGTAATGAAATACAAATAATTGGCCTGATGCGGTAGCTCACACCTGTAATCCCAGCACTTTGGAAAGCCGAATTGGGAGGATTGTTTGAGCCAGGAGTTTGAGACCAGCTTAAACAACATAGTGAGACCCTGTCTCTACACAAAATCAAAAGATTAGCTGAGCAGTGTGGTGTGTGCCTGTAGTTCCAGCTACTCAGGAGGTTGAGGTGGAAGGATCACCTGAGCCCAAGAGGTCAAAGCAGTGGTGAACCAGGATCATGCCACTGCATTCCAGCCTGGGCGACAGGGGTAAGACCCCAACTCAAAAAAAATAAAAAAAGAAAAGAAAAGAAAAGAAATGCAAATAATACATTTTTTCTGTTGTGCCACTCTTTTTTTTCTTTTCTTTTTTATTTTAAAGATGTGGGGTACAATTCAGGGTTAGGTACAGAAGTGCTGTTTTCATAATTTCCTTAGTGACTAAAATTTAACTCTAGGTGGAAAAGCATTTAATAACGAATTATCCCTCCCATCTGCCCCATAATCTCAAATTAGTTTATTACAAAGCAAAATAATTATTCAAAAGTCAATACAATACTTACTACACTGTATTACATCATATTACACTTTAATGCATAAAAACTGAGTAAAAAATAACTATGGAAATCCAAAGTAAAATAGTTGCCATAATTAGATTGTGTACCCTAATTCATGAAGAGTCCTATTAGTAAAAGCCAATATCGTACATGATGATTAATGGTTTTGTGAACAAGGTAGCCTTGGACCCTGAGTTCAAATAAAAAATGAGAGGAGGGATATTTTCCCTCCTGAGAAAGTATATTTTTGAATGCATCTTGTGGGAACATCTTCTGAAGGATAATGGATATATTTGCTGTTATTTTGTTTATTTTTAAAGCATTTTGGAAAATTAGAATTTTGGTTTTATATTAGACATCTTGACTTTACAGGTTACTACAGGCTGCCTCAGCTAATAAGGAAGAGTCTTCCAAAACTGAAAGTGAATTAACACGTTGCCTCTCTGAGCTCTACCAGAGAAAATCTCGAGAAGAATCCACTGTAGCCAATCAAGAAGACAGCAAAAAGAAACGTATGTACATGAAAAGTCTGTTTCTTGAAGCAGTCTTTTCTGAGACATTTAAAAAAATTGACATTCCCTGAAATGAGGTTGAAATGGTAACTAACTATAAATAAAGGAAACCCAGATTCTTATATTTCAGATTTTAAAATAATTACGTTAGTCCAATAGTGGTAAAAATAATCACTCACAATCTTACCTAGTGAACCAGCTTCATTTTTAATTATAATAGAAATTCAAATAACAATTTGTAGTTTGCTTATAAATATTTGTTCATCTGCTACCTTGCTTTTTTATTTTATTTTTTTATTTTTTTTTGAGTTGAAGTCTCACTTTGTCACCCAGACTGGAGTGCAGTGGCATGCTCATGACCACTGTAGCCTTGACCTGCTAGACTCAGGCGATCCTTCCACCTCAGCTTTCCAAGTAGCTGGAACTACAGGCACACGCCACCACGCCCAGCTAGTTTTTTGGTTTATTGTAGAGATGAGGTCTCGTCAAGTTGCCCAGGCTGGTCTCGAATCAGTGGACTCAAGCAATCCTCTCACCTTGGCCTCCCAAAGTGCTGGGACCATAGGCATGAGCCATCGCGCCCGGTCCATCTTTTTTTATTGATTGATTGATTGATTGATTGAGTCAGAGTCTCACTCTGTTGCCCAGGCTGGAGTGCAGTGGCACGCTGCTTGCGGCCATCACAGGCTCAGCCTGCTTGGCTCAGGCAATCCTTTTGCCTCAGTCTTCCAAGTAACTAGATCTTCAGGAGCACGCCACCATGCCTGGCTAAAATTTTCTGTAGAGACGAGGTCTCGCCATGTTGCCCAGGCTGATCTCAAACCCCAGGGCTCAGGCTGTCCTCTCTCCTCTGCCTCCCAAAGTGCTGGGATCATAGGCTTGAGCCACCGCGCCTGGCTTTTTCTTATGTCTTATTCTATCTCATTGCTTAACAAAATTTACAGAATTCTTATGTTGACCATTTAGATAGTTTTTATCATTATAAATAATACTACAGTTTATATCATGCATATAATTTGTTTCCTGAGTAATTTCCTTAGCAGATTTCTAGGAAAAATTTCCTGTGTCAAAGAGTATAAAAATTGGGTCTTGATGCTAAAGACCAATTTTAAAGATTGCTAAATTGTCTTCCAGAAAAGTTTCATTACATTCCTGTGCCCATTGGTTGACACCAAAATAAGCCTGTTTGGCATTTGCCTTAAGGAAAAAGTCATCTTATCACATTGGGATGTTTAGTTTATAAACTTCAGTTAAAAGAAGGGTAGTCTTTCTACCCTGTGTGTGAGTAGAAAGAAACACAAGAACTACCTGATTCAGATCATTCTGAAAGGATATACTTCATTTTGATATTTCACAACCATCTGAATTAAAGTTGTTCTTGATTCCACAGAAGTGGAAGGTAATTTACTTTTCTTCCTCTGATGTTGTTTTGATAGGAGGTGTCCCTCGTACTCCAGTGAGGCAGAAGATGAATACCATGTGCCGTTCCTTAAAGATGTTGAATGTTGCAAGGTTGAATGTAAAGGCTCAGAAGTTACATCCAGACGGCAGTCCAGACATAGCTGGGGAGAAAGGGATTCAAAAGACAGCCAGTGCAAGAATAGCAGACAAACCAGAAGACAGAGGAAGAAGAAGTTCTAAACCTAAAGGTATTCCTCCATTCTCTAGCATTTTGGCAACTAAGTCTATGTTTACTCTTTTTTACCCCTCATATTTTAAAATAAGTTTTAATGTATCCCTTAATTAATTTATTGAAGATCTGCTTCATGCCCAAAAGTATATTACAGAGAATGCAATAAATAATAGTATCCCAAGCCGGGCTCGGTGGCGCAGCCTGTAATCCCGTGCCTTTGGGAGGCTGAGGTGAGTGGATTGCCTGAGCCCGTGGGTTCGAGACCCATCTGGGCAGCGAGACCTCATCTCTACAATAAATCAAAAAATCAGCCGGGTGTGGTAGCGCATGCCTGTAATTCCAGCTACTCGGAAGGCTGAGGCGGAAGGATCGCCGGAGCCCAGCCAGTCGAGGCTGCGGTGGCCGGGAGCGGACGCTGCACTC